TAGAAGTATTGGCACTGGCGGGACTGTTCGAGGCCGACGGCAGATAAGGCGGGCGCAAGCGATATTCCAAAACTGTAACCCTGAATTGCAAGGCAGCAATCTGATCCTGCAAGTCCTCTCGCAGCAAGCGGAGGTCCTCTGACAGCACGGCGCTGGGACCCACAGAGGTGGTGTCACTCATGAGGCACAAGGCCGAGGTCCCTAAGAGACTACTAGAAGTGTGGAATGATGATGTGAGTATGCAACACGAACACAAAAATTTCTGCCCATGCCCATGTTGCATGCTGTTTTCACTTGCTCCCTTGAGCATGACCTCGCGGCGGTGCACACAAGTAATCACATGCTCGGCTGCACACAAGAAGTGTTCAAAGCTTGCAAGAGAAAATCACTTTGCAAATTTTCTTTCCAACTCAATCGGAAGAAGTAAAACTAACCAAGTTTTACAAAACAACCACGAAAATTAAAGCGCTATCAACCCGTTGACCGCTAGCGTAGTTCACCGCGATCTTGGTTGTTCCTTCTGTGAGGAAAGTGCCTGTAGTCGTTCCATCTCTGAACTCCCAACCTTTCTTCAACAGTTTACCTACTGCCAAAAGAGGGTGCACAACCGATGAAATCAAGAACACTTCTTCAACCTTCACGATATTTCCTTGAACGTCTCGAAACTCAACCTCAATGATCCTTTGGTCTGAAACCTTGATACGAGATCCTTGTGCGTCTCGCAAAACCACCTTAGTAGTGTTGGGCGCTTTCCTTCCGTACTTCTTCATCCACATTGGTGCCAACGAGATGTCGGCTCCAGAATCCAGCACTACCTCGATCTCTCGAGTCCTTGAGTTCCTTGCTGCACGAACAAACCTGGTGTTTGTTCCTGAAGGTGCTGTTCTTTCAACTCTGTTCCTTCTGGGAGGATGGTGACATCCATACTCGCATTTCTGCATGTTCGGGTGCCAAGGTGTTTCATGACATCCGTTGGGGCATTCGTAGTAGTATCCACGATCTTGAGTTCCTACTGGGTTCCCTTCTACATGCCACTGCCACCATGCATCATCACTCACCTCATCACAGTCCTGAAACTCATCATCTTCATCACCAATCCAGTACTCTTCTGCCTCACTTCTCTCTTCCTGAACTTCTTCACCAACAACCCGCAAGACTCTTCCGAAGTACTCAATCTCAATTTCCTGTGAATCTTCGCTCATCTCGAATTCCTCCGGAAAGCTTGTGGGCTCGTCTCCCATATGATACATGGAGACCATCCTAATCACTGGTCTTTGTGTTCCTTGGCTTGTTTGGCCTTGGCTTGTTGAGGTCTTGTTGCTTGAAGAAGGGGCCTGAGTAGAGGTACCTGTGGTGCTTGCCTGTTCACTCTGGTTCTCTAGGTCTACGTTCCTTGCTTGGTAACCCATGTCACGCTGCTTCTGTCTACACTGTGCTTCAAAGTGTCCGTACTTGTGACAGTAGTGACAGACTCCTGTAGCTGCTTGGGCTTTTCCTTTACCTTTTCCTTTGTGCCTGTAGAAGCCTTTTCCTCGACCTTTGCCTTTTCCTTTGTCCTCTGAAACCTCTACCTCGACCTCTCCAGTTTCCTCGACCTCTGCCTTTGCCAAAACCTCCAAAACCTTTTCCTTTACCTTTGCCTTTACCGTCAAATCCGAAACCTTTTCCGAAATCCTTTCCACCTTTCTTGCCTTTACCTTTGCCTTTGCCTTTGTTATGAACATAACCTTTGCCATAGCCTTTCTTACCTTTGTACCATGCTTGATTGATGTCCATTGCTGCAAGACCACCATGGTCATCACCTTTGTCGATCAAGTCTGTCGTGGTTCGGTGAGGTGTTCCTTGCTGGGCTGACAAGGAGTTAGTCCAACGTTCGGTTGACTCGTAGTTCACAAGGTACTGACGAAGAGCGGTGTACTGTGTCTTTTCGTCAAGATTGAGCAACAGGCGTCTTTTAACATCAGGCTTCATTCCTTGAATAAGAGTAGAGACTTCCAAGTTCTCTTGTACCTTTTCTCCTGTCGCCTTCTCGTACTTCTCGATGTGCTCCTCATATTCGAGGATGTTCTCAGCAATTCCTTTGTTGTGAGCAAACCTGTAGTTGAGGATGTTGTGAAACAGTTCCAACGATCTTGCACGATTCGTTGGTTGGTATTCCCTCATCAACATACGGTAAGCTTCCATACCGTTTTCCTCTCCTACATGCTTTACAACACGGTAAGGCCTTCCTTTGGTATATGAACAAAGAACACTGTACAGGCGGCGGCTAGCTTCCTTTGCTTCTGAAGACATGTCACTCATCTTTATCATCTTATCGTCTTTGAGGTTCCTTTCGACGATATCCATGATCTTCACCATGTTGGAATCTACTGCTCCAAGCCAGATCCGCATCCTGTTCCTGAACTCTGTCCAGCCACTCTTCTCTTCTTGCCATGTTCCTGGGGAAAATGCTTCAGGGCTTTTGATTAGCTTGTGCAACTCCACTTCTCCAGGCTTTCTTTGTTCCTTTACTGCCTTCTCCAGAGATGCTCCTATCTCCTCAAGTGTCGTTGCTGCGTTTGTGTGAGCGTCTGCCAACGCTGTCTGTGCTGCTTTCTGTTGTTCCTGCACTGCTGTAAGTGTTTCCTGAAACGCTTGTGTAAGTCCGGCTTCTCTTTGGCTTCCTGAAGCTGCTGAGCTCCTGATCTCCTCTGCTAGTGTCTGTATTCCTTGTAAGGTCTGTGCATTGATCTCTGCAACTGTCTTCAATGCATCCTCCATTCCTTTTGCTGCTTCAAGGTTGCTGTACACTAGTGCTGCTAGAAGTAGTGACTTGCACTGCTTCCTGTTCACTGCTTGTGCTCTCCTTTCTCCTCTTGTTTTCCTTTCGTGCTTTGAGCTTCTGCTTGCTCTTGTGAAAAACAAACTAGAATAGTACGACAGGGTGATCCAAGTAATCAGTCCCACTGGGGTTCCTAAGAACACTGCTATGCGAATTCCTTGAAATGCAACTCTGTTGGAAATGACTTCCTGAACTATCACATGCACGACGTCGTGAAACTTGTTTCCTACCTTTGCTAGCTTTTCTACGAAACTCTGAACATGTTCCTGTACAACCTTTCTCAGTACTTCTCGCTGTTGTTTTACTAGGTACCTAGGGGCGTAGCCTGACTCAAGGCTCTCACTCTCCTGGTTCTCGGTGTTCTGGTCGCCGTTCCTGTTCTCTTCCGTGTAGTACTCGCCGATCACGCCAACGACGCTGTAGAGCTCGTGCATCACTTGACTCGCACACAAAAGGGTGTACGGTATCATTGCTTTTCCGATCTCCACATAGTCCTTAATCGTGTACGCGTTCGTGTTCCTGATCGTGTTCACGTTGGTGCCGTCAAGGTTCACGCTGCACACGTTGTAGCCTTCCTGGTAGTACTCTCCGTACACGTCGTAGTTTCTGTAACTTGTCTGGTGCGTATTGGGCTTCCTTGTTCTGCTCGTCCACACGGCCATGAGCTCGCTCTCGTCGCTCTCCACGTACGTAAGTTCCTTTCTCCCACGGCTCGCATCCCTGGAGGATACGCCATCTCCAAGGGCAAGTTCTTCCTTGCCCTTCTCGCTGTAGCCAAGGGCCTGCCACGGTGTCACAACCACACTTCTTGTTCCTGGGTTCAAGGTCATCCCGCACAACGTTGCGAGGCATCCCAGGGCGAAACCAACCAGCAGCACAACACATGCTGCCAGACCGTAGCACTTCACGTTCCTGTACTCCTTCTCTTCCACCAGCACTCTGTCGGGGTAGCAGCCTGAGCACGCGTCGAAGTCTCGAGCGTTTCCTGCTGTCACGTTGTGGTTCCGAAGGTGTCCACAACCTCTGCGGTGGTACTTGGTTCCTGAACGGACTGCGATCCTGAGCGTGGGCATAGTCAACACTGTCTCTGTCTTCTTGGTCACTTGCTCATTTGCGCGCATCTGCTTCCATCCAACAACGAGGCAAACTGCCATGGCGACGAGCATCATTGTTCCTATTGCTACGAGTAGCATCATCGCTGCCAAGGAGGTTCCTGGAGGCAGCTCCGCTACCATGTTAAAGAACGGGCTTCACTAAGCTTTCCTACTCACTCACAAAGGCGGACACTTTTCCTGCACTGCGGAGTGTGTCCTGGTAGTCTCGAGCCTGCACGTCGCGTGTGCGTGACGGCTGTTCCTTTACATTAACTACACTGCACTAGCGGTGTTACTGTTCCTGGCAAGATGTTTAACAAGAACGCGGAAAAAGTGCACCCGAATCAACAAGCTTCAGCGAAGACCCAGAACCACCCCCGCTTAGCAGTAAAGAGGTCGAAGATAGAAGCTTGGAACCAGAAGGAGCATCGCGCAGGGGTTGCAACATGCAACGCTTGGAATCAACAGGCGGAAGAGCATGCACTTGGTAAACAAGCACACGCTTGAACTCAGGCATGACAGGAGGCAGTTTACGCCCACGAGGTTGCCGAGCTGAAGAAGCAGCTGCCGCGGCAGACGGAGCCGCACTCGGATGCACAGGTAAGGGACGACCCAAGTGCCTAAAAACCAGAGCCACAAATTGTTGGCAAAAGGGCCTAGGGTAGGCTGCCTCCTGGGCTGTAGGAAAAGCCATCGTGCCATCGGCACGTCGTTGTGGTTTCCACGGAAGGTGATCATGCCCACCTGGACAGCGCTGGCGAAAATGTTCGATGGCATCACAAGAGGTAAGCAGCGTGCGGTGGGTCAAACGTGCACCACCATAGCAGCACATGTCGAAATTGACCCTAGGAAAATTCTTTACCAAGTGGGCAAAACAGGGCAGCTGCCAGAGCATGCTTGACTCCGGGTTCTCAACAGTCCAGGGAATGTTGGACTCGCAAAGCAAATCAAGAAATTTGGCAAGGCCAATGTAAATTTTGTTCGCAGCCCTGACCTTGTCAAGTCCAACACCGGCAAGTGAAGGCAAACCCATGGGATGCTCAGGAGAACGAAGCGGTGCCGCCGAGACTCCTATCCGCTTAATGTTACGTGCTGCTGAGCATGTGCCACAAGGCGGGGCAGCGTGAACAAAAAAGTATAGGATGATCACGAACCAAGTTGCGCAAGAAGTCCCAAGTGGAATCCTCCGTCAAGCTGAGATTGCAAACCTGCGCCAACGGGTGATGGCGGTTGTGCTGGTGGTCAATGGGCATTACGGGAACACCCGCTTCACGAAAGCAACGAGAGAGCATGGCGGTGCCAGCACAGAGCTCAAGGAAAAGAGGGTCTTTGTGACCCGGCACATCGGTCGCGGGATTAGAACCTGGTGACCCTGACAGCAAAGGAAAACGCGGCGGCCAAGGCAAGCGAGCTGGCAACTGCGGGTGCTCACGGAAATGCTCGACCTCTGGCGCGGTTGGCAGTGCAAAATCAAGGGAAATCAAGCGTTGCGATGCTTCAAAGGAAAGCTTATCAAAGGCAGAAATTGAAAAAGCCACCAAAATGACCCGCCTTCCCTGCCACACATCAGTGAGGTGCATCTGCCTGCGTGCATCGAAGAGAACAGGCCCGTCCGAGACAGGCAATGCCACCCCTTGAAGAGTTGAACCATCAACGGTCCGAGCATGGGGACCCTTGCTGGACTGCACCCAAATCGAACCTTCAGCGAAACTTGACAAGGGGATGGCCAAATTTGGCAAGAAGAAATTCTGCTGGTCACGATGCGGGGATGTGCGAACACCATCAAAAATTACTACGGTAGTGAACTTGTGTGCAGGAGCTGATTGCCTTACAAAAGCAGCCAACACCTGGGTAGACTTTGGAAAAACGGCAACATTGCTCCGGAGTCCCACCTTAACCTTGGCAAAGGCCCCAGTGGTAAAGGAGATGCCGCCACCGGAGCCACGTTGCGGCGCAGCTTTCGGGAGGCAATCGAAAAGCTTAAGAACATCTGACTGCTCAATCCACTTCCCAAGCAACCTGAAGCGAATTCTTCAGCGGATGGCAACCCCTTAGGCCCTGCATGCAAAGCGTCCCCTTCAGGGACACTGCTCTCAGATGAAGAGCGCACAAGAAGTTCGCCACTCTGTGCAGCATCTTTCTCGTCGGTAGTTTGGGCCATGGGTTGCGCAACTAGTCAATCTTTCTTGCGTTTGGGACACGTCGTGTATCCATGATCCCTCTTGAAACATCCTTTGATGCAGCAGATATGGAGTCCTCTATCACACTTCCCATTGGATACAGTTCTCTGGCAACGGCCTAAATTGAAATCGAAGCAGATTGGCAATCCACGTGTCGTAGCAGGAACTCCGTCTGCTAGCTCAGCGGGCATACGGACATTGCTCTTGCCCTTTCCTTTTCCCTTGCCTTTACCCTTGCCTTTCCCGGGCCTTCTGTCGTCGTACGGACCAGGCCTGAAAGGAGCAGGCGGGGCGGCAACCAAAGGCTGCAAAAGGTGAGTGACATTATTGCAAGTCATCGCCTCGCTCCAAATCTTATCAACCGGCTTCCCGTCAGAAACAAGTTGGATTCCATGCCGGGTGCGATCTGCTGCTTCAACAAACAGCTGCCGATCAGCCTGCATAAGCTGCTGCAAAGTCACACGTGCATAGTTGTCAGGCGGATCCCTGAAACGCGCGGTAAAAAGTGCTTCCACCCACCGCTCGTGCTCCGAAAAGGTGACTATCCCTGCTTGGTCCAGGGCCAAACCTCGACGGGTCAATGCCAGCTTGAGGAGAAGGTCTGAGGACACATCAGCATCAACCTTCGCAACCTGGGTGCGTAGAGACACATGACCGGCACCATCGACGGACAACATCTTATCATCGCGATCCTTCTTGAACTTAACCTCATCATTACGACAAGGGCACGACTGAGGCGGCAAGTAATGAAGCACGTTCTCCTCGTACATCTGAACGCTCAATCACGGCATGACCCGGAAGAGTCGGGCCGTGGATCGTCAAACCACTCAGCCGAACCTGCTGTCGCTGCAACCTATCGGCCCGGTCGGGCGCTGCGAGCTTTCTCGGGGCAGAGTCATCGGTCCTTTCAACCTGTGATTGCAATTCAGAAACAGTTAGGTTGTAGCTCTCATGCAGCAAGCGGCGAAGCACACTGAGCTCCGCAATCGAAGGGTCGCGCCCAAGCACTTTGACGATGGCAGCAGTGAATGGGCTCTCATCCGTGCTCCCGGGCACGTATGAGCTCAGGAAAGCATACTTGCTCATGCAATCAATGCCAGCGTCAACGAACTTCACCAACACCGGATCCTCCAATCCAAGAGCCTTCGCCCTCGAAGAGAAGTTTGCCTTGCTCTCTGTGACGGCCATGGCACAAAACCTGTCAAGGCACTATGGGGTCTCCAGCCAAAGTGCACACTCACCGCAAACGACAAATGCACTTGCAAGACGCTGACTGTCGGACACAAGTTCAGCACAATACTATGGGGGTACCTTAATGCGTCCTACAATCAGTTTTCGTGGTTTTTCGAACACTGAAAATGGCCTCGCGCGATAGTACAATTTTGGAATTGTTTGTCCACAAATCTTGAAACCTTCCAGACCCCCCGCTCCCCCCAAATTCAATGTTTACATAGAAGCGCCCAATGAGCATTGCGGCACACATTGAAATTGAGGGGGCGGGGGGGAGGTTTCTGAATATGCAAACAAGAAGACTGTCAATGACTGACTGCTGCTGCACTCGATAAAAACCATAACTCCTTCATAAAGTCTCGTTATAGATCCTCCCCGAAGTCCTGCCTGATCTTTCCCTAAACCCTCGCATGGCCAAGGCCCCCGTAAACTTGTAGATAGACTACCCTACAATTTTTTGCACATGCCACCCCTCATGTTTTTCGTGTATGCTCCTCCAAACGCTTGCTTGCGGACCCTCCCCCAAATCCTGCCTTGCAGATCCTGCCCTAAACTCTGCAGATCCTTCCCTAAACCCCCCCTTTTGCATTCCAAACCCTGCCCCGCAGATCACTCCCCAATGCCTCCTGCAGCACAAATTCCTATTCTTCGTGCGCATTTCCAGTGTTTTGGTGGTCCTGCAGGCCTCCCAACCCTTAGCCCTCCAGATAATGCCGCCCAAGCCTCCACCTGGCATAGTGCCCGAATAGTGCCCGAATAGTGCCCGAAATAGTGCCCGAAATAGTGCCCGAATGAACTCTTCATAGTGCCCAAATACATTTCCTTTCGTAAAGGAAGGAAAATCTCTTTTTTCTTCGCGAAAAATCATTTGGGCACTATGAAGGGTTCATTCGGGCACTAGTTCGGGCACTATTTCGGGCACTATTCGGGCACTATTCGGGCACTATTTGAAGGCGTCTACTATTCATGCACCGCAGCCTTGCCAAGTCCCTCCCAACACTTCTCCAGGCCTGAAAACCTCCGTCCAGGGCTTGCCTACCCTGCCACACTTTCGACGAGCTTTACGAGCCCATTTTCGGGGCCCGGAAAACAACAAAAAACGTAGGACACATCAGAGTACAGAGGGGGGCCACTCAAGCGAAGCCAAAATTGCTAAGCTTGTTCGACCCCACATTTGGAGCCGCGTGTGCTGCAGTTGGTCCGCACCGAAAGTGGACGTCGGCGGCACTGGTGCGAACACGTTCCAGACACAGCAGCCAGAACACTTCCACCTTTGAGCTGCAGGCGGACTTATGGGACAAACAGAATCTGGTCCAAACAGGTCAAAGTCGATGCTTCTCAGGCACAAGTACCTTCTAGGACTCTAGGAGAACTTTCAACTCCAACCTTGCACAGGCGAGGCCGTGGCGCTTCACAGCTCTCAGAAGTCCACTAACAAGAAAAACAGAGTGCGCAGCACTCGATCTTTTTCTTGAGCTAAAAACATTCGAAGTAAAACGAAACGAGACAAAACGAGTGCGGTCACTAACCTGATTCAAAAGCAGTTCTTCCATTTGAGGCAGACCGAAAAACCTGTGTTGCGGAGGCGGCAGCGGCACGGATCTGTGTTGCGCAGAGATGTGGATTTGCTGAGCAACAAAAGTCGCTTGGAGTGCCTGCTGCGAGCGATCCTTTTTTTGTCGGTTTGTGACAGCGGAGGCAACCATCCTGGACAAAGACACACGCAACCATGAAGCAAAAAAGACCTGATCTGACGATGGAACTGACTCAGAGCAAAAAGAAATTGAAGCAGAGGTGCAATCTCCAAGAACAGCGAAAAATGCAGTTCGGTCTTTTGAGGGAACGCAACCACTGGTCTAGCAACAGCAAATGCAATCAGAAGCAAGGCAGAGGCAAAGAATGTTGCAAATGGGTCTCTGCTAAAAGAGCAAAAAAAATCTGGCGAGAGCCAGGTGAGCCCATGTCGTGCATGAGGGGTTTTGGAGTTAAGCACCGTGCACAAATTCCGAACCGTCAGCCACACCTCTCGATACCATAACTCTACACAGCTCAAGAAGTCCTGTTCAGATCTGGTGGAGATACCTTCCAGAAAATTCCGCCGCTCTTGTATGATCTGTTCCGGCCCACCTTCTCGATACCATAACTCTGCATGGCTTGATCTGCTCTGTTCAGAAATGCTAGAGTCACCTCTGGCAAAAATTCTCTGTCTTTGTACGATCTCAAAGCTGCACAGTTATGGGGCTGTCGGGCGACCCCATTTTAAGGCCCGCAAAACACAAGCAATTCTGGCTTCGCGAGGTCGGCCCTCCACAGTTGCATTCCGCTGGCTGCAGCACTATTAAGGGCGAGCAACACAGCTGCTTTGGACAAGTTCCGACCTTCCAAACGGTCCTCCACCAGACGCTCCCCAAAGTCAATACAATCAATGACATGCGCAGCTGACAAGATTCAGCCGCTGTGGGTGCAGGAATAACTCACACGGGCTTCGGTGCAGACGCACAGCAAGAGCAGTGCGGCCTGCGAGCGTCCTTGTCTGTCAGAAACAAGTTTAAAGTGGCCGAGCGAGCGCAGCGCGAGAGTTCACACGGCGCCCCTGTGCAAAGTGGCCTAAAGAAGCCCTGGCACGGAGCAGAAGGTGTTCATCAGCTCCGATGACAATGCCATCAAGAGGAAAGGTGACCCCCAACTCAGTACGATCAACACCCGAAATGAACAAGCATTGAAGCCGAAGACACTTGAAGGCATGTCGCAAGGCACGTCTCACGAAAGTGAGCCTCCCCGCAACAGTCGGCGGAGGAGGAAGAAGAGCAACTGAAGCTGGAGAAAGCCAACCGCCCTGAGGGCCCGAAACAGGATAAACAAAATCTTCAACCGTGGCCAACATGAAAACAAGTTCCAGCCAAGTTACTGTAAAAGCAGTCTCCGCAATGCTATCCTGTACAAAGACAAAGCGGCAGAGAGTCTGAATAAAATCACTCGGCAGATCACATCCCGCTGCAGCAACAAGCTGTGCCCATCCGACCGGAATCAGAGACTCCAGTTCAGCACGTCTGGGGACGGCCAGAGGTCGGGCTCGCTCCTCAAGATCTGCAGACTCAACGCCTTCTCGTGTACGGCCACCTCGGCTGGCCGTGGCATCAGCGATAGCAAAGTAGATTCCGCGAAGGGCTCGAAGCGTCTGCAGCATGTCAGAGTGGTAGCGGAGCGCGGCCTGGTAGACTTGCACGAAGTACTGCGGCCTGTTAGAATTGGCAAAATTCGCCAGAGTATCTGCATGGCCGTTGTGGCACGCCAGCCAATCCTCAAAAGGAGAAGTGGTAAGACCCTTATCCAAGTGAGAGGGGGTATGGCGAACCTGAAATTGTGCAGGGTCCAGCTGAGCCAAAAGAGCTGCCAGGATGTCCCAAAGGTCGGCGTCGGCATGGGCCTCGAAACATTGTCCATTTTGAATGGCCTGTACTCCATCAACAACGTTGAGACAGTCCGACCAAATCAAACAAGGTTTAGCCACTGAGATAGCCCATTTGGCTGCAGCGATCATTGCCCAAGCTTCAGCCCGGGGAGCCGTTTGAAGAACACCAGGCACTGGGCCACAAGCCAAGGCAACTCCCAGCTGAGCATGTATGATGCCCCAGGCAGCAAGGGAGAAGTCATTGCCCCAAGCATCGTAGCATGAGCCATCCGTGAAAAGGTATTGCCAGCCCAAACTAGTCCCTGAACACATAAAAGAACCCGAAAGATCCGGCAGACCATGCAGGAGTTTGCGCAAAAGCGGCAGGTGCGGGTTGTCAGGAGGTAGCAGGTGGTGTGTGACACACGATGGTAACGAAGACCATCTGGCACACACCCATTCATGCGGCCTTCTTGCATTCACAAACTTTGGGCAGACGCAAACACGGTGTTGGGCAGTATCCGGCACGTCACAAAGGTCACAATCACCGGTTTTGGTGAAGTCAAACCGCGACTGGACGTGATCAAAGAGAAAGGCACCGGACCGAACCGCGGCATACCGAGCCGTATCAAGGGCGGAGAGCCCACCGACATCAGCTTGCAAGAGCGACGGGTCAATGCCGTCCAGGTCGTGCATGGTGGCCCGATGCTTGTGAGCAAAGGCGACAAACCTCAGCCAGGCGTGCTCCAGTCGCCGTCGCAACAAAAGAGCAGGGGCCTTTAGCACATCATGTTGCAAACCCTCATGGTCCATCACCAAGGGGGGGACCAGAACGGCCCAGCCGACCTGAGACAGTACGTGCAGAAGTTTGGTGAAAGGTCCGTGGAGGGACCGACCATCGTAAGCAGCCATAAAACTACGCCATGAGCCGAGGAGACCACTGACTTGGCAAGCCATGCGTCTCAAGTCTCGGATGCAGGCCCATAGCTGATAGAACCCCGGGTCGGCACACATGTCAGGCACAATAGACAAACGAAGGAGTGAGCTGGATCCACCAGGCCGAATCTGTAGGGCAGAGGTGGCGCTGGTGCGCAAGGATTGCAAATGTGCCTGGCCAAGAGGGCAACCTGCGATGCCATGTAGTGCGCGCGCCCAGCACTTTTTCGGCAACACAGAAAGTTTGAGCCCAAGAGGCGCACGAGACCTCCGCAGGGCAGCCCACACGGGTTGCAAGGCAGTGCACCGGAGCTGAAGCTCTGCATTATGGACCCGTGGTCCAAAGGCCAGGAACCCACCAAGTTCACGGGCGGAGTCGGATACCGGTAACCCCAGAGCCGGAAGGACCCTACGATCCGCAGGGGCAGTCGCCCAAGTGTAAGTCTTAGCTACATCCAAGCTCAGTTTGAGCAAATCCATGAAGCTCTGAGTAACCTGGTAACTTCGGGCAAGCTGAGCCGGAGTGGATGCCAAGGTGGCGAGATTGTCGACGTAGCTCAAAGAACGAACCTCCGGCACGAAGGCTTGCATGTAGGCATGGTATGCGACATCTGCCAGTAGCATGGCGAGG